ATTTGGGAAGGAGTTGTCCTTAAGGAAAGAGAGAGAGGATTTCTTAGCTGGTTGCATATTAGATATGCTCAATATTTCCCATTGGAGTTCTTGAGGGGAAGCTTCCTGGTTTATGGTAGTTGCTAATATGGAGTTAACTCCTAAGCCTAAGCAAACAGTAAAGAGTGGCCAAAGGATAAAGCTAAAACRTGAGGCAGCCAGTCCCCAAAAGGAGCAGAAAAATAATTAAATGAGTATTTGGGGAGGATTAATAACTTGTTTTCTCCTGCAAATGGTTATGATGTTGTCCAAGTCTGTACCAGGAGTAGAGCAGAGCAAAAGAAAGCGTATGGATGGGTATAGAAGTTGTATTTCCACCATCTTTTCCGTATTTTAAAATTAATTTGTGAGGTATCATGGCAAAGTTTAGGAAAGAGCTGTGAGCGGAGGATGTAGCTTGATGTCTTTATGAATGAAGGAGAGCAAAGTTAAGGAACCTGCAGAATTTATTAAAGACGAACTGCCGCCTGCTAAAGTAAACGTAGCTGCAGGGCATATGGCTGGCAGGAGACTTGCAAGAAGAAGCACAGAGCTAAGGGAGCAGCTTGAATAGAAGAACAGAAGAAAAGGGGGAATAACTTGGTTATRAAACATGCAGAGGCAAGGTAAGGAAAATGCCAATACCTAGTTAAGGAGAGCATGGAGAGGTCGGGTTGACATGTGGGATTTTGAGAAGGAATGTCCGTACCTGCCAAGAAAATGAGGAGGGGAAAAAAGGCAACCTGAGAATCAAAACAGGTAGCCCTGAGTGTTTGGAGTTTCCGTATTAGGCCAGACTGACTTTTCCACTCATTCTCCTCAATAAATCTCTCAGGAAATTAAAATGCAAGATGGGTAGTACATGCTGGACCATGACTGGAGGGGKGAAGTCTGAAATGTATGATAGTATTGAATTTCTTGTGTTAGGAATCAAATTAATCTGAGGTAAGTTAGGGCAAAATCGGAGTGGGGCATTTTAGAGTTTTTAAGAGGAAAGCAAAAGCAAGGCAAGATAATGCCATGGTCAAGAAATTGCTTGTGGTTTATGGCTTTTAGGAGCCATGACGTAAAAAGGAGTCTTCGGTGGATGGTTGTCCCAGAGCTAATAACTGGGTATTGACTGTGGTGGACTGAAAAGATCCTCTAGATTGAGAAGCGAGAGAGGATTTGGAAAGACTTGTCTAATCTTCTTGCTTACAAAAACCAAGAAGGGACATAAAATATGTCAGGATACATCAAAGAGCATGAGGAGGCTAAGAAAGAGCAGAGARGAGCATTGGTAACTGCAATGAATTGTGTGTTAGTAAAGTAGTAAAAACTGTGTGTTCTGTTTTCAAGATGTCTTATGTAAATAGTGAATGTCTTAATCTTTGAAAAGAGAATGCTTGGTTTCATTTTGTTTKTTAGGTTTGTTTTTTTGTTTTTCCAACCTTAAATAAGCTTTGATCGGAAGATCCTTCTGATGAAACATGAGAAAAAAAATGTTTATGTGTAGTTGTAGTTTTAAATACTGAGGGACAATTTTTTTGAGAAGCTAAGTAAACAATTTAAACTGGAATAAAGATATTAAGAGTAGAAACAATGTGAAGATGACTTACCATTTATCTCATGTAAAAAGCTAGCTAAAAACATATTTTAACAAAAGAGACAAAATCCTAATGGAAAGACTTGAGATCTAATTGGATGAATAGAAAATTTAAAAGGCATAATTATAAGTACACAGAGAAATTAAAACTTGATCTCAAAAACACGAAACTGCAGGGATTCTGAAAATACTTAATATTTTGTATTGTAAGTGTTCTGAAAATACTTAATATTTTCAGAAACTAAGTATAGAGGTAGGATCTAAGAAGAAAAAGCTGAAACTGTCAACTATAGAAAAAAGAGCTTTAAAAAAGTAGATTAAAATTGAGGTAAGCTTAAGATCAAATTTAGTATTTTACCATCAAGACCATAGCAATGCTGCAAGTGATGTTGAACATGGAGATAAAGCAGGGAAGTGCAATGGAAGTGAACGTATGGARAAGATACCCCAGGTGTGGGACAAGGACATAATCCTTAACAAACTCACGTACTCACTTCATGGATAACTACTACKTGAGTGTGGTTTATGATTAATAAAGAGGACAAAGCTCTAATGGGATATCTTCTAAAACAGCATACTCTATTTTTTCCCAAACGTAGGGTACCTGTTGTGCTTTCTTGGTTTCTTACCAAAGTCTATGGTATGAGATGGGGAGAATTAATTTTAGTTTCTAGAGCTGACTTCTCCTCTTCTCATCTGAGTACAATGTAGTCTTTGCTTGCGATGTGGAATTCCATCAGTCATCTGTGTAGTTAATGTTTCCAGACTGGATTTATCTATCTCTCTGCTGTTTATTTTGATTTAGTAACTTGGTGTCTATGGCAGCTCAAGCCTTGGCAAAAGGATGTACTACATGGTTGGGACTTTTGATCTATTAAGCTTAATACTTCTTAAATAATGCATTTACACAAAATCATAGATCATTTAGAGTTATAAATTTTAGTTGGCTTGTACCATTGTCCAATTCAGGAACTTCTGAATCAGGAATTTGAGACTCTAATTAAAAATACATCTCGTGACTATGATACGAAGATTCTGTATATCTATATCTATCTATCTATATATATATATATAGAGAGAGAGAGAGAGAGAGAGAGACTTTTTCCTTGGGACAGTATTTATACTAAAGATTATTAATGAGAAGGAATGTCCGTCCAGCCATATGGAGGGGCTGGAGAGAAGGAGAGAGAGCATATCCAAGTATTATCTTTTCCGTTGGAGTGATTTATAGCTCTGTGTTTAGCCATTAGCTGTGAAATCAGGTTAGGATTCTGATTATTCATCCCCTGTACAACCCAATTCTTTTGTCTTCAAGTATGATTCAGAAACATAGAATTCACCTATCTTCTAATAGCTTCGCACACATGGGTGGTAGGCAGAAACATCAGAGCTTCCTGTTTTCTCAGCGTGCCAGAGCGTGCATGAACCCTGTGTTCTAATAATTTTTACATGCGTTTATTTTTTTAGGGAATGTCTAATATTCCTATGTTCTACCTGTGTTTTTTGCTTTTTATTGGAGCTGGACAAGAGTGTAGTATTTACTTTGCGAAGGGAGAAAATTTGACTTGTTAATAGTCATGTTCTCTTACAACAGATCACTTTAGACTTTTCTACATTATAAAGTAGATAGGTCTACAGACTTTTCACTAAAATGCCATGCGTTTGATAAACTTTTCTTCCATGTTTTGTAAATTCCAATATTTACTTTACAGGGAACATTTTATAACTTTCTGTTTTTCAGGTGTTGGGCAACTATTTTTCAAGATTTCCCAGTGTAATTTACTACCGCATCTGATCTTTTGAAATGATTACCTGAATTAGACACCTTTTCATTTAATTTTTGTTTGTACGGGATATGGAGAAGTGCTTCTGCATAGTGTTAGAACAGTTCAGCAGTATTAAAGCCAAATGATTGTTTTATCGCTCGTAGTCAAATAAACAATCTAATGTTATTTAAAAGATGTTATTTGAATCTGACACCTTTTGGACTGTTCACAACTGTACAAAGGAATGTGACTTTATTAGTCTGTCCCTTTCTTTACTATAAATACACATCAGCCACTTCTTGGATAGGTGTCTGGGTAATCTCTGGGAACAAGTCTCTAGAGATAATTTTGGAAGAGAATGTGAAAAAGATTAAATGCTTTATATATTAATATTTCTAACTGAGGAGACTGAGCATGAATTTAAAAGATTATTATTACCTGTTTTTTGTTTGTTTTTATTAAAAGAATGAGGCACCAAATCACTTTAAAATCAGTGGCAGTTACAAATTGCTTGGCAGTTTAAAATCACATAATTGACTCTTAATTTTACACAAATGCTCTTAGCATTCTTTATACAAATTAGATAGATAGCCAATAGTGCATTTAGGGCTGGAGAGAAAGAGAGAGGATATGAAAGTTTTCCTTTCGCTCAGAAATCTTTGTATTTTCTGCATTCATCTTCTATGCTGAGAAAGTTCTGGAAATCTATCTAGTGCTCTCTTTGAATTATATGAGAGTAAATCATGTGAAGGCAAGTAACTTAATATTGCCTAATTAATATTAAATCAGTATCTCTAGTATTTAATTTTATTAAATTAATTTTTTTTACAGTTTTATATATGCAGTTTTAGTGATGACTAGTATTTGGAGAAGTTTCTTACTTTCTGAAGGACTTTTTTGGGTGTAGCTACTGATACTGCGTTATTTTTCCTGCTATTGAATTTGCCTTTTAATTAATTTGATAGCGGATTTRTAGAGCAAAAATTATTGCTATACTACTACTGTGCAAAAGTTGTTACTCTCTCTCAAAGGGTTTCAGAATAGTTCACTAGTGTCAGTTGATCAGTAATCAAGTTATCCAAAACCAAAAAAAGCCTGAATTGAATTATATTCCTTGTCACAACAGTTTTTACTGTATTAGAACCATGTTTCTCAAAGCATTCCTAAGAGCATTGTATGTTCTTTGTCTTATTTTTAATAAGAAATTTCATATTTGAAGCACATCAGTGTTACCATTGCCAGAAAAAGCAATCTAAATAATTGAACTGCATTAGATAAATCACCTCAACATATTTTTACTCTTCAATCTTTTCTCTTAAGAGCTTTCTTTTGAGATGCTCCACTATTTGGTTTGGATTTAAAGTTCTTAGTGCTGTTTTGTGCTCTTTGAAGTTTTAATATCTTAAAGGTCTTTAGTTCTAAAAAAGAGTTAATGTTCAATTTTCTTACAGTAAGATGTTTTTGTTTTAATAGAAAAACCACTGGAGCATATAACAACTTAARCTTGCTGTCATCATATTAGCTTTGATATAACTTCTATGTTATGTTAAGAATACTTAAGTCCTGAAAACTTGGGGCTTTTTTTGTTTTGTTTTGTTTCTCCCCCCTGCTGAATCGCKTTGCATTTGCAGGCACTTGCAGACCAGTTTGAAGACACGAATACTTCAGTATCGGAACGCATGAAGATTTTCTACTGCTGTCAGGTGCCACCACGTTGGGCCGTACAGGTAAGAAGCAACCCTATGTGACACTTTAAGAGTCTGTGTTTCTTACTGATTTTGTTCCTGTGTGGCTGCTAAGTTGAGATAGTGTGGTAATACTATGTGGTCTCCTACTGAAACACCATAGGAATGAAGGCAAAAAGCTTTCTGGAAAGGAATGAAATTCTGCAGCCTGTTTGGCTTTCATACATCTTGTTCTATCATACATAGAAATAATTTTCGGTACTGTAATTTTCCCTTGTTTTCCTTTTTCCTTCATTAAGAAATGGACAAAATCTTTTAAACTTCCAGCATGCCTCCTGTAAAAATAATCCCACCGCTATCTTGCTGTTTACTACTTTTTTATTTTTATTGCTTGCATTTTCCTCTATTTTTAAATGAACATTTACTGCAAGCTGCTTTCAGGGTGTGTGTCAAGGTCAAAGTATCCATGTCCAGGAGTCAAAGATAGATTTGAAGTATAAGAACCCCTGGAGCTGAGACTTTTTTGCATTTTCTAGACATGTGTCTTTTCAATAGTGTAGACAGGATACTTTTTCCCAAACTATACTATTTATCTTGAACATAAACTTTCTGCAACAAAAATCTGCACATTGAAGACTTATCTGATGGTGATGTATTTAACAACCAACTTAAGAAAACAGTTTACATTAGGTACCTCCATGGTGTGCATGCTGTTTACTTTTAATGTTGTCTTTTTTCTTTTCTGATATTTAAACTCAGTGTGTATTGCTTTAACCGAGCATATTTTCTTCTAGCATTTTCAAATTATTCTGCACAATCTTTCAACAGGCAGTTGCAATAAAACTAGCAAATGTGGTTTTCATTTCCAGCTGTCAAAGTGGCACTTTTCAATCCATGCCAATTTTCCAAGTCCAAGATAGAAATGCTAAAAAAAGATTTATAATGGAAGAGATGGCTACAGTCTTCTAGTTATAGAGGTGTTATCTATACCAATTTTACCAAATTTAAATCTGAGTAAGCTTAATATTACAGAGATGTTGTTTAATTCCAGATGCTGGAAAATATTTTTTTCCTAAGCAATTAATATTAAGCTAACAAATAACTACTTTGTTACAGACTTTCACAGAGTTTATTATGTATATTTGTTCAAGAACTGTAGTCGACTTAACTTTGATTACTGCATCTATTTTGGTTATGGTCACTCCTCACTCCTTGTAACAGATACTGAACCCACGCCTATAACGAGCACAAAAACATTGGCAAGGTTGGATATCAAAGCATGGTCAGGGGCTTTTTTSTACAGTATGCTCCAACTCCTCTTGCAAACCAAATGGTGTGTTTCTCACATGCAGACATGATAAACATATTTACTTCAAAGTTGAAAAACTGTATGTGATTTTAATCTTCTCTCAAAAAAAAACCAAAGACAAATTTTCAAAGGCATGAAAACATACCTTGTTTGTGTTTAAATAGAAAGAATTACCCATTTATTTTTACAAGTTTGCTGAAATAATAGGCTGAATTTGAAATAACAAAGCCACTGGCTTATCTGTGAGGAAAACTCGGTGAAGGAGTTGAGTGTGAGCTCAACTCCGATACTGATTTGACTAAAAGCTAACATCCTTTGGCACTGACTGTTTAGGACTGTTATTTACTCCTGATAGACGGTACCTAGCAAAATCATACTGCTAGTCACTTCATGTGGGTGTGATGAACCTCCTCAGGATCTGCTTGCTACAGCAAAGTATTGCCAGAAGAGACATTAATGCCTCCCACTTCTGTTTGCTGCTCTCAGATTTTTCAACACAGTGCTGTAACTCCTTTCCAGGCACACAGGCCACATACCTGGATGCAGGACTGGCAGTTGAACTCATCCTTCCCCTTTGCTTACCTCTTTGTGCTGGAGTTCAATCAGAACAGTTATTGATCTCATCGTTTATTGGAGATATTTATGTATTTACGAGGATTCAACTTGGGATTTAAATAGAGTAATTTTATATTCTCTATGCTTCTTAGAGATGTCAGAGTGACCCTAGCACCTTTTAAAATAAATACATAAATATATATATACATATATATATATACAGAGAGAGAGAGAGAGAGAGTTTATGAACCTAAATATTTTCAATTACCGCAATTCTTTTCTTTGCAGCGCCAGCTTGCAAACTTGCTCTTTGAGCTGGGATGCACCAGCTCAGCCTTACAAATATTTGAGGAACTGGAAATGTGGGAAGATGTGGTAATCTGCTATGAAAGAGCAGGACAGCATGGAAAGGTAWGAGAAATTGGTTTTCACAGCTGAGATCCCGAGTCCTACCCTTTAAATGGGACCTCAAATAGGAAGAACTCTCTGATTTGAKCTGTCAATTCACTTAGGATGTTCACTCTGCTGGGGCTACCATGAGGAAAGTTCTTACAGAAAAAATGGGCACACAACAGATCAGTCTGTCATCTCTTGACTGCAACAAAAGATCTGAGATCATGAGCAAATGAAAGAGGAATAAATAAAAAGTAACTTAAAAGGCAAGGAAGTACTTAAAYGTGATACATGAAAAATATGAGAAAATATCATGTCTAGATTTGGAGAGAAGATAGCGATTCTGGAAAATATATGAGGAAAATTAAGTTAGAAACTGCAGATGCGCAGACAGGTGTAGTGTGTTTCCAGAAGGCTATAGCAGTTGTGATGGGGGGAGACTGAGGTTGTAGATGAAGATTCCTCAATTTGATTGGTCAGATTCTTCATTATTTCTTTGACGCTGCTGAAACTACGTGTATCTCTCAGGCAAAAAATGTTTAAAGCCATTATCTAATTCTATATATAAATGACAGAATTGTTTAAAAAAAAAAAAAAATTGGTAGCAGACCATTAGCAGCTTTCCAATTGTTGATTGTTTTGTTGTGGCTATTAGAGCTATTAGATCAATGCAAGGAGGATTTTAGAAAATGCTGCCTGTCAACCCTTGTGTTCAGTATTTCCATAGCTTGCAGTCTTTTAGACAAAAATACTTATGTTATAGTATCATTATAGGTGAATGCATATATGCCCATATGAAAACCTAAGTACAAAGACTATGCCTATGCTGAGTTAATTTTGCAGAAGAGAGCTATAAGTTCAATTAATAGATAAAAGAAATCTAAAATTTCTCATCCTAACGTGTGTGTTTATTATCATACACCAATGCTTAAATTCAGATTATTATAAATGGACAGGTTTCACTGCCAAGCTCTGTGTCGCATTATGCATGCCTTGGGGTTGGTGTGCTAATATCAGAATCCTTTCAGTACAGTAGAGAAGTAGAGGTCAGTATTTTCCATTTCCTGGAAATACATTCTCTCCTAGTTACATTCACACAYTGCCCTTGGGGAGTTATGAAAATGGCACTCAGAGAATAGGACAGGATATCTGACACAGGAAACCGGTTAGAAATGCTTACAAATGAGTGCCTGTGCAGTGCTGTAAAAGCAGAAAATGCTCTGTAAGTACTAAATAACAGTAGTATTGAGGTCAAGTTAGCTTTGAATCGAAAAAGTTGAAAAATTAGAAACATTTATCTGTATGCTTAAGAGGAGTAAGTGTTTGTGGTCTTTGTCAGAAAGCTTTCATAGTCTGCACTGTCTGTATTCATCAAAAATGTTTTAATAGCTTTTAAACATGGTAGTTGTTTTGAAGCATGTGAAAATCTACCAGTGCAGTATGTTGCTCAGTGAATGTTGACCTTATTAAAGAACTTAGCCTATATGTGCCTAAAAACTATTTTAATAGTTCTGCATATCTTAGTGATAACAGCTTTATACGGAAAAGAGTAATTTAAAAACTGAAGGAAAAAAAAATAGTAAAACAGCCACATACTCATTGACATACACATTGTTAAAGAAACAAAGCATGTAGATATGGCTATGAAAAGCTCCATACTTGGAAAACACATAGCTCTTTCAATTATAACAGAGGATATACAGCAGTATAAATTTTGCTGAGTATGCTGTCACTAATATTTAATAAGCTTGTTTGTGAATCTTTTACTGGTCTTAGCTATGGTTCTATGTTCATTTACTTCATAAGGTGACTGTAAGTAGCAAAAACTGGTTTAGTAAAGTGAGCCTAGAAAAGAGTAACAGTGCTCAGCAGAGCACAGGAAAAAGAAAGAAGGGGGGGGRAAAGGCATTGTAGAATTTGAATGTCCATTGTGTTGATAGTCTCTTTATCCTTGTCATTCCAGTGTCATACATTTTGTATTCCTCTAGCAACCTTATGGACAAACAAACACTAATCTCTGTGTGTGAATATAGTGAAAACTCTTATGRAAAAAGATTGTCTTCTGTGTCCCTCTCCCTTTTCCTTTGAACTGTGTGTGAACCCCAGAGAACTTCAGAAAAATATTGACAACAAACAGTTTTAAGGCTAGATTTAAGGCTTAAAAGGTCTCTCAACCTGAAATAGAAAATGGCACCTGAAATAGAAAATGTAATTAAAATGACTCTATTTTTCTGGAGGGGAAAAAAAAAGAAAAATGATGAACTGAAGAATTTTCGGTTCTTCCAGTTCAAATGAGCACTTTTTCCCTCACAGGAGCTTTAAAGCACTGTAGCTGTTGACTGTTGCTGGATTCATGAGAGTTGCCTTTTAGCATCAGCCTGCTCTGCTGTCCTGTCACTCTGTTTTCAGCTCTATCCCCATAATTCTGCTAGCATGGAGAAAGCAGCACTGTACACAGCCTTGTTTTAGACGAGCATCCCCAGCAATCCACCTTCCACAGCATTATTTCCCTTGTCGTGACAACATAAATTTATGACTGAAAATATCCACAAATTTCTTGGAAAACACAAGGAAATACAATTATAAGGTCAACTCAGAAACTTAGGTTATAAAATCAGGAAATGCTTCCCAGGAACATAGTCAAGTATTGTGCTATACTACGCAGCACATGAGAATTCCAAAACTTGAATGATTTCCACTACATTTTGAAAGCAGGTAGGGGTTCACTATATGTAGCTGTGAAATTCAGAAGGGAGAGTAAATGACTTGCACAAGGCCATGCATGCAATTATAGAGAAAGAAGAGATTTCGGTTTAAGAGTCTCCTTTTCTCACTGTCTATGTCCATGATTATCAGTTCTCCCTCATGCTGCTTCTCTGGTAGTCTAGGAAATGCTGTTCAAACTGAAAGATTAAAGTGTTTTAGGAAATACTTTTAGATAGCAGAGGATTGAATTATATATTAGAACAGGTTGATCATTGTATCATAGAATTATTAAGGATGGAAGGGACCTCTAGAGGTCCTCTAGTCCAACCTCCCTGCACACGCAGGGTCACCTAGAGCACATGGCACAGGGCTGGATCCAGACAGGTTTGGGAGATCTCCAAAGGAGACTCCACAACCTCTCTGGGCAGCCTCTTCCAGGGCTCTGTCACCCTCACTGTCAAGAATTYTTTTCTTAAGTTCCTGTGGAACTTTTGGTGCCTCAGTTTGTGGCCGTTTCCTCTAGTCCTATCGCTGCCACCACTGAAAAGAGGCCGCCCCCTCCTCCTCACTGCCTCCCTTGAGGTATTTATACACKCTGATCAGGTCCCCCCTCAGCCTCCTCTTCTCCAGGCTGAACAGRCCCAGCTCYCTCAGCCTTTGCTCAYAKGGCAGATGTTCCAGGCCCCTGATCATCCTSGTAGCCCTGCGCTGGACTCTCTCCAGCAGCTCCACATCCCTCTTGTACTGGGGAGCCCAGAACTGGWCACAGTCTCCAGATGTGGCCTCACCAGGGCTGCATAATGCATGGGGCTGTATAGATAMTCTTGTAAGAAACAGGTTATATTTAACATGGTAACAGGTAAAATTTAACATAGGTGTTACAGGCAAGTGAAAGTTCARTGTTGGGAAGCCAAATGTAGGAGGAGTCTTGAACTTGATTTCATCCATGTTAGTGTAGACTGCTGTGAGAAACCATATTACAATTGCAGTTATTTTGGCCAGCATGGATTATATAATTTCCTTTTTATATAACTTTTTATTAACACTTTTATTATCAAGTCTTGCTTAATTTAGATAAACCATTATGAAACATGCCATTAATTAAGATCCCTTTAAAGCGTAAGGGTAATGAATATAACCTTAATGATTATATTCCTTTTATATAAAACTATATTAATTGATTGGAGAATATTTCTTGATAGAATTCTGTTTTCAAAACAAGATTTGTCCCTTTGCAAAGTTCTTACTAAAGGCTATGTGCATTTTTGAAATTAGTCTGCTGTGAACTTAGAGAGGAATATTGCAGCAAAATGAGAAATCTTGTTTTAAAGTACTGTCTGGTTTTGTAGAAGACAAATTTCAGGAATAAAATTTTGTTCCTGGTATGATCACTTGTATTAGCCTTTACAGATGTAAGTGGTAAAACAGTTTGTAACGTGCCAGAGGGGTGATCAGATAGCAAATGAGTTGAAGAAAAAGTCAAATTTCTGCTTATTTAATTCTGTTTTATCTCTGTGCAGAAATATTTATGTTGGCAATGGATCCTTGCAGACTTAGACGAGAACATGGTGCTTTTATGCTCTTAAATATGAAATGTTATTACTGAATGGTCAGCTTTTTGGCCTGCTGTGTTGTTACTACTAGGCACTAGGATATGGCAGTGAGCTAAGGCCAGGAGGACCCTGTTCCAGAGGAGGTCAAGGGGCAGCAGGCAGAGCACCTTTCACTGCTCTTTGCACAAGTTCACTCTTTCTCTTTGTTTGAAAGAGGAGACGGGGAAAAAGGAAGAGAAATTAAAAGAAAAAATGTGTCCCCTTTGCCCAGTGTGATTCCTGTAGTCAAAAAGTGCTCCTTTCTGCTCAGGATCAATTCATTTAAGATACCTGTTGTTGGAATATGTCCCATTAATGTCACAGAAATTGATGGAGGCAGAGAAGTGGGGATCTCATCTCACGATGCCCTCTGCAAGGGCAGCCTTGCCACGAGGCTCTGCTGTCTACAGCTGTGGCTAGGCAGACTCTGAACGCCTCTGATGGTAGACGTTTCATATGGTTTTGAAGAACTGTTCCATAGTCAATTTAAAAGCATTTTTTGTTGTTTTTCTGATAAGTTTCTAACTAAATTGGGTCTATTTTTGACAGTTAAACATCCCTTTACCAATCTGAACAATAAATTCCCTTCATTTTTGGACACTTCAGGTATTGGTACATTTTTATTTCTGTTGCTTTCTTTAACCAAGATGGTGGTAAGAATGAAGTGCTAGAAATAGATAATTCAAAATTTCAAAACAAAGTATAGTATTTGAGGTCATTTTACTAAGGATAATTTTAAGATGGGATCAATGAGTTTTAGAGGAGGAGCCATTCATATAGCAGCATTTATTTGATTCTGTAGAGATTATCCAATATGAAAGAAACTAGTTTTCATAAGAAAAAGAAAAGCATTAGTAATTTCAAAACAGCGGTAAACACAGCTTTCCTGTTAGAAAAACTAGCTATGGCAGAGGAGTAAATAGTGTTTTAGTATTTCAAATCCTGTTGCTGTGGTAGACCATATTAGATCAGGTGATGGGTGCAGATTGTTCAAATAGATGTTTTCAAAAAGCAGATAGTGTGCTGAATTATATATGTTACATTTTTGCAGTGGGGGACTGATGTAAAAGTTTTGGCAGAACAACAGATCATCTGTCCTGCATTCTTATCTTTTGGAAAAGCCAAGGCAGGCTATCTCTTCTTTGAGAAAAGAAACAAAAACTTTGCTGTTAGAATGAGAATAGTGACCTTGAGATAAAGAGCTTTTGAAAATTGCTTATAACCCAGTTGTTTGTCTGGAAGACACAGTTTATGTCATCTTTTCTATAACATTGTATATGCTCTGAATATATTGTGTCTTAAACATTTAGATATATGTGTGTAGAACAGCAGCAGTGTTGAAACCAACCTCAATGGAGATATGCATCTTTATGTATGATAGAATGAAAGTAACTGTCTTAGAAGAATACTTAGAGAGAAAGGAATGGCAATAGTACTTATGAGGAAATATTTTAAAATGTAGATATAAGAGCATCTGCATGGTGCTGGTTTTGCAGTGCCAAGAAGAGGCTGTTGGTTTGATTTTATGGACTGTTATTAGCTCTTTAGAAAGAATACACACCTACGCTGTACAACAAGGAGAAAACAGGTTTTTTTCTTTGATAAGTAGATTTTTCTTGGTTCACTGAACCCCAAACCTCTGATTAACTGATGGCTTTTAGGATACTGCAGTGATATTGTTTGGGTAGGTGATTAGTAAGCAGCAAATTGTCTCATTAAGCAACTAACTCCTCTTTGCTTCGCGCCCCAGGCCGAAGAAATCCTGCGAAGAGAGCTAGAGAAGAAGGAGACGCCGTCCCTGTACTGCCTGCTGGGCGACGTGCTCCAGGACCCGCAGTGCTACGACAAGGCGTGGGAGCTCTCGAGGCAGCGCAGCGCGCGGGCGCAGCGCTCCAAGGGCCTCCTGCACCTCCGCCGCCGGCAGTTCGCGCAGTGCGTGGAGTGCTTCGAGCGGTCAGTGCGCATCAACCCCATGCAGGTGGGAACTGGGGCCACTGCACTGCTGCAGTTTTGCACACARATGTCCAAGTAGCACTTTAATGCTGTTCTTAGCAAATTCCTCGTCTGGTAAGTACGAGAGGCAGGGAGGCCGCCAAAAAGAGCAGCACAAAGAAGTGAAGATTTCCTTTCGCCTTCCGGTCCTAAGACTTTGTGCAGCTCTTCTTTCAAAGAGACTAAAATTAATAATAATCATCAAATAAATCATGAGCAAGTGACAGACAAAATGCTTATTCTGCAGAAATAAGATAGAAGTGATTCTGAATGACCACTCTAACTGATGYTAAAGGACAAGCGCTTGCAAAAATACAGAAGGCTGACATGCCATAGTTTAATAGCCATTCTTACCAGCAGGTGCTCTTTATGTTAATCTTTATGTAAACTGGTATTTCACATAATGTAATTTCCTACCTACAAAATAGAATTTTGTCTGCAGTTGAGAGTATGCTAAATTTAGCTGCAGTGCTTTTAGGTGCTTTTAGAAGCCACCTAAAATGAAACTCACTTGTATTTTTATGACCTCATCATCCTTTGGCTGTCCTTGGGATTCCTGCAAGAAAACCCGCTGCAAAGAACGATCCAAGGGACAGCATTAGGAATTATATTAGGAGAAAGCCAAAGAGCATTAATTAGTATTCTGCAGATATGAACCAGACTGTCCATTCAGTGAAGATTATATCAATTCTTAAAAGTTCTCAGCAATATAATTTAAAAAAAAAAAGTATGTTAATCTGTTCAGTCTCTGTTGGAAGACAACTGTTTGCCAGCAGAGGAAGACAGTTCCATCTTACTGCTTGGAGTAATCACAGGTTTTCTTTTAGATGTTATTGGATCCATATTGCTACCAATTTTTCTTCTTGCATTGCTTGCTTGTGTAGACTGCAGCTGCAGTTTTCTGCAGATGCACTTCAGAGATGCTGTCTATAGCTGTCTAACAAATGTACCTTGTGGTATGCCAAGACCAAAGTCTGCCTTTCACCTGTTTTTTCCTGGGTTTTTTTCCTGACAGCTCAAACTAGAGCTGACCCTTTTCTATGCCTAAATATTTTCAGTGTAAGAGAGCTATGGAACTCATGCTTGTGATCATAAACATTCATGGATAATAGTAATATTCATGGCTTCACTTTTCCCTCTATAGTTACCTTCTATAATCTATATTAACCACTATTAGTAGCTGTGACTACTTTTGATAATAGAAAGAGAGATTTACAGGAAATAAAGTTGTTCTAAGCAACAGAAGTGAAGTGAAGAGATGAAGAGGTTTCATGGGAAAGGAATAGCACAGGGATACTTTTAGACATTTGCTGTGTGAATACAGCAAATTCATCCAAGGCATTGTCAGGTAATTAATGCAGTAACAGACAGAACCTCATATGAATTTTAAAATCTGTTTTTGAGAATATTTATTGAAGAATGATTTTAGTACAGAAGCAAACACAGAAATTCTACTCAGTCTATTTTCCTATTTCTGAGTGAACAGTACCAATGAATAAGGAATTTCAAAGTATTCTAGTGATCCTGGAGAAATCACCCAGATTCTGAATTGAGTTCTTTGCTGAAAAATCTTCAACCAGATTTTGGAATGGAGCTATTGAAGAGGTATTTGGAGAGTGTAGAAAAATAAGTCTTGCAGAGAACTGATCTGGACATATTAAATTTGTTTTAGCCTCCCCTTGTCCCCCGCCCATCAACTTTACTTAACACCAAGGCATGCATTTGTGTTGGACCAAAGCAAGATTTAGGAGAAATTTTAAGATAATACCAAGTTTTCTGGTTCATTTTAAAATATCTGTTAGGGTAAGTTCCAATTAGTACCTCCAACTACTAAGGGTTAGTGAATGAATATGTAGTGTATATATAATGTAAGAAACTTTTCTGAATATGTCAAATCATTCCATTTTCAAATAGTTCTGTAAAGCAGATTCCTTTTAAACTTTCTAGATTTGRTCACTTACTCTTCCCTTATGTTTTCCCGTATTGGCCTTAGGAAATAAAAACTCATATCTCTGTTTTCCACAGAAATCATTATCAACTGTTCTCCTCTGTCCTGCTCTGGAGCTACTGAAAAGCCCTGTGTTATACTTGCAGTGACAGTAGCTTTTATTACAATAATGCATCAAAACTGAAGCCTCTGTCAAGAGACTTTTCTTGATGATGCTGACAGATTTTGACAGATCCTTTGCAAACTGTTCATCTGCAAACAGATGCTTCATTTTTCTCAGCTGCTCTTACATGACATTCCAGTAAGGTCTGTTCTGTTAAAGGTCTCRAGAATTTAAAACAGCTTTTTGATTTTTGTGTGTATGCTTTGTACCTTGTGTGCCTATTACTAGGTCAGTGAGAAGGTAGGATACTTTTTCTTGCCCTCCAAAGAATAACGTATAAGCAGGTTTGTGTTCTGTATAATCTGTTGTCTTCAGCCTTAGGAAAATTCTGGAGGCTTTCAAGCTTTCAAATCACATATCCTAAAGCTGTTCAGGATTTCACTAATGTATTATGATACAGTATGGTTCCTGTGAATCAGTCTTGTTCCTATGCTAATGAACTTCAGATAACTTATGATTATATCTGCCTTAAAATGTAAAGCTAAAAGGAACAAAATCAGTTTCCCTTGTATTTCATTTCCCTTACCTTCTCTCGAAATACCCAAATATATACATTATTTTTTGTGTAAGACTTATTGAAATCAGGCTGACTTCTGGCTATTAAAGAATGGCAGAAGTTAGCCTGCAGAACTCAAATCTGAAAAATATACTGCTGAGATCTTTGTGTGTGTCCCAGCCGAAGGAAGCTTAAAATGAAAGTCAATCCAAGAAAAACAGTCTAGTCCATATAGGAAAATGAATGTTTCCTCCTCTTGTTGCTCAGGAAGCTGTGTTTAAGATTCAGAAGAATTGTTTCAAAYGAATAGATTGAGCAAAAGAATCATGGAGATTTGACATATCATTGTCTTTTAAAGTCTGTTTTCTGTCACTACAAGTATGAATTATTTCCTATTCCAGGATGTCTTGTGGAGAGAGGCAGGTGATTTTAGATTTGAGAGCTTTAGTACAAGGAAAAAAATCATTAATGAAGGGTTCCCAGAATTAAGGATAATTCATCAGGTGAACAAGAACTCCCTATAAAAAAGAAATTGAGTCTTTTTAACTGTTACCAGAAACCTTTTTAAAGGAAGAACTTTCTAGACTTGAAGCAAATGATTCCCCAAAGTATCTAATGGGTGGGATAATTATACATCAACCTTCCTTGAAATTGGCATCCTTTTCRGCTCGCTTCAGTCAAATGTGGTAGAGGTCTTAGAAGAAGGTCTATACAGTGTAAGCCAAACACCTGATTAGACTTTGGAGAATYCACAAAGGCCCCCAAATTTCCAGTTCAGGTGTATATGATTAGCCTGACTGCTCTCAGATTTACTTGTTTCAATATGTGCCTAATGTATGGCAGCTGTATGGCGCTTGCGTTTTCACTGAGAGCATCTTGCAAGGATGGACTGGGACAATTCCAGTGGGCTGGGGAAAGAGAAGGGAGAGATCAAAGTGCTCATAACAAAGTTTGTACTGGTTAGATAATAGATGTGTTAGCTCTTGCYCTGAGCAGGGTATGGTTCCAAGCAGTGCATACTTGGTCATGTCACAATGGACTTGTCCAGAAGTCTCATATTCATGATAACTTCTCTGTGCTCACACCTTTACCTACCATGTTACTGTCTGCAAGAAAATAGTATTTGTTTTTTGGGCCAGACTATTTGACTCCTAGTTTCTCCTATTTTTCTTAGTCTTGGGGCAGACAAGTCCTCTTTCAGATTTGGCAAAACACTTCAGAAAGTAGCTTGCCATCGACTACATCTGGAATCTAATGCTTTGTGCAATGCAGCAACAGCCTTATTCTCAAGAAATCTCATTCCTACTCATTCTGTAATAAAAAGTAACTTGAATCAAGAATTGAGTTTGAATGTCTAATTGGAGAAGATGATAGATCTCTCTGCACCTGGTTTAAAAACGTAATAACTTTTGCCAGTGTGTTCAAAGGAAACCAATTTGTCAGCTGATTCTGTCAACTTATGACAGAAATGAATCATTAATTATAGTTAGATTAGTTAAGATGTAGTTATTGTAGTTAGAGGTAATTAATTGTAGTTAGGATTTGACTCAAGTAGAGCTCTTAAATGTTATTTGTAATTACTAACTGTAAAGACTAATTTTGCTGTGCTAAGGGTATAGAGTGTGTCATTTTAAATCAACTTCTAAATTAGCATCATTGTCAATATTTTACTTAAGTTTACTAGATTCTGGGAAATTATGTACATTCAGTATACATTGAATTCAGTATACAGTGAATATTACAAGCTGCTTAATGTATTCTTTTAATTTTCATTTTTAACTATTCAGTTATACTTCTAAGATTATTTTGGAAGTGTGCTCCCACAGATGCAAGAGAATTGTTTAGACTTTTTGAAGAATTTTGTAATCATTTAGACTTGTTAGAAACTTGTCTAGAAATTCCTGATGGCAAGCATTAACAAAGAATTTGAGCCTAAATTATCATCTTTGGCTGGTTACTGTCCTCAGTCTTAAAGAGAAACTTTTAGAGACCATTCGCATATGTTTTTCCAATCAGTAGCCGACATGAGCTTGCTGGTTTTTTGTAACCTTTTTCTTTCTTTTTTTCTTTTTTTTCTCTCCCTCCCTCRCTCCCTCCCTCCCTCCTGAAAAGGAACTTGAGCCTAGATCTACAAGTGGTAACAAAATTCTTTTTTGAACTTTGGACAAAATCCTCCTTGCAAGGCCTTTACTCAGTCACTCTCCTCGGAGCAGTTATTACATCAGCCAGTAGAATCAGCAGATTTCATGCTGTGCCTAGTAAAACAATGGCATTCTTATCGTTCTTTCCACACAAAATAGCTCTAAATCTGTCCTTAAACTGTATCTAAATAAATAAAAAGTTACTCCTGTTAGGTCCTGGAAGAAATTCATGTACTCTTTCTAAGCATCTAAAAGACAGGAAAATACCATTTGAGTGCTATGCTAGATTAAAGCCAATGTGATTAATTTAAATTACAATTTAAAATGAGCAAAGGCCCCTGAAGGATTTACAGGTCAAAATATTTTGTTGGGTGGATATTTTCAAAGGTGCTGGCCGATGAGTTTCGATGTGCATTGAGAGATGATGCTTTTTCAGTGATTTCAGTTGCCTATAGCAAAAGGCAAGTAGCCTGTGCAGTTTATGGGCCAACAACCTTTTATATTACCAAGATGCAAAATTAAACAACTAAATTCTGGGTCAGGTTCTGCATGCTTTTCAGTGGAGGTCTACAAGATAAACCTCAATTATGAAGTGACAAACATGTGGATTGTACTCACTATATAAAAATGCCGTAAGATACGGTTCCATCTGAGTCCTTATCATGCCTGATAACTCAGATGCTTTTGTTGATAACTCAGATGCTTTTGTTAAGAACAAGACAAACCTAATCCAGTGGCCTCAAAGATTTGTAGCTCAAAGATTTATTCATCCGTGAGTGACATCCATGTTTTTAGTAGCCATGGATACTTTTTTTTGAGTTTGCATAGTCATCCTCTGAGCCTATAGCTTCTGTAGCTTTGATTGTCAAAATAACTGCAGGAGTTACTTCACACTTGGTGAACTGCTGGCTTCATTTGAAGGTCCTTGTCTGTGTTGGAATAAATGGTAAAAACGGGGAAAAATGGGCCTGCTATTTTGGACCTTGTGATCATTTCCACATGCAAGGATTTTCTGTCTTAGCTCGTAGCCATGTAGCTTCTTGAAAAGCTTTTGGTGAGGAATCTTTATCAAATTCTTTCTGGAATACAATTAGATTTGGGCTCATTCTGCTGCTTTTCAAGAAATGTACCAGGCYTGCTGAATTTGACTCATTCAAGTATATTATATGTCCAATAGTGCTCTTTAACAGGGTGCCAGCTAACTTGCCTGATGGGAATGTCAGCCCTTTGGTTTGTAGTTCTACATTTACCTTCTGAATTCAGCTATTTCGTATAAGATTTCTTAAAATATGTAGTGACTTTTTTGTTATTTATAGTGTACAGTACATACAGTAACATAAGAAAGCCCTACAGTAACATAAGAAAGCCTTTCACTAAATGACTTGTTGGGTTGGGGATGAGGGTGAAGGGTGGTGACGTCAATCTTGAGTTATGAATCTCAAATTCTGAAGGGAACACAATTGCCTTTTCTTCGGTATTTCTTAAAATTAACATCATCTTTAGTAAATATTTTTGCTTTGTTTTTGGAGGACTATTAAATCTAGCTATGTTACAACAAAGCATCTCTTGTACAGTAATACTTTGAACTTGATCCTTAAAAATGGTCAGGATCAAGATAAGTATTGTCTTCTGACCAGCTTCAGGTCTAAAATATTTAATCTTGGAATTGCATCCAGTGTAACTTTTAAAAATTAAACTATACAGAGTAATGAAAATCACATATTTATGGATTTTTTGCTGTTATAGCCTTGTGATCCCCCTCAGTATATTACACTCGTTATCTTAGATTTCAGATGCAATATCTTAGATATTCAGTGATGCAATCTTTACGCTGTTTTTTTAATTTAAGATTGAAATTTTAATCTGTAGCAGTTCTGTTGTTTGTTTTTTTCCTTTTTTAATGTGATTGACTCTGAAATTTTCTTTAACGGAAGGCAACACTCATCCAGCAGCATGACCTAGTTCCTTTGCTATATACTTTGCACCTTGWTAGTATCACATCGCAGAAACAGTCAAGTTCCTGAAAACTTCCCTTCTTTCATCTCATAGCTGAACGTTTTAATGCCCACTCCAGAGACTTTTCATCTTAGACTCTTTTGTCTACTAAATCCCTTTTGGGCATCTTCTGCAATCTTATCAATCATGTTGAATTCCCAAGTTTCTTCCCTTCAGTCCAAATCTTCATGTTTATCCAGACTAGAAACAAAACTATTTTGTTTCAAACTATCAAAAAAAAAAAAAAATCCTGTATCTTTGCAGCCATATTATGATTTTAGCTAGGTATTCCCCCATACAAACTTTCCCTGTAGAATTATTTACATTTTATTTCAATTGTATGACTTTTCCTTAAGAGAGGAATCAACAAATTTAAGCAGAGAATAAGCCAGTTTTGGAAATATGTAGCCACTCACCTTGCCTGAGAAAATGAAAATGGATGAAATAGTGGAGGAGTTTGAGTCAATCAGATGCTGGAAGCACAAGCCCAGAAGGCAGGCTGTGAGGCAATGGCATGTCTTTGAAGAATAAGGCTTGTTCAGGTTTTTTGCCTCCATATCATGAGACTGATCACTGTCATATCTGTTACCCTGCTGGACAATGTAAAACATTTATATGCTAGGATCTAAACTAAGGCAGTCATTCAGTTTCTCCTAAGTGGTCCCCCTAGTAATCCAATACATATCTGTAATAATATTTAACTTTTTTRATGCTGAGCATAACGTTTCAGAATATCAAACTCAACTGCTTAGTTAGGCTGTAGCATTTATGGTTACAGTAATTCTTTTTAAAAGCATAATTTTAATGTCACACAGCATAGATTTTTAGGTCAGAAACTAATRGTTAGAGTAGGAATAACTTAATCTCAGGAAAGGGGTAGTTCTGGCAACTGATAATACTTTCAGGATCAGCTATTGTCTCTTTGATAGTTTATTACTTCAGAAGAGAGATTAAACTAAACTACTTTTCCTGTTGGATATAATTCATAAGCATGAGGTAATTCTTACAGCCATGGTTTTCTGTAGAAGAAAATGAAGAATTCATTCTTTTATTATCCTTGTATAAAATCATATTAAGTACTGGTCAGAGATGAAAAAGTAATTGAGGGCATTCCCTTCCCTCTGCTCTTCCCACCATTGATACAACCCTCCTAACTACTTAAGTACCAAAGTCTATACAATCTTGGCAGCAAAAAGTTGTATTCAACTGGTGCAATTCTGTGTTTTAAGTAAGGCAGTTTTAAGTAAGTTTCTGTGTTTTACGTAAGGCACCATTTGAGTACATTTCTGTTCTGTTCTATAGCAATATAAACTAAAGATCAATATTTGGGCAAGCTGACAGAACAGTAATTTTGAACTGCCCGGTCATCTGACACATTTGTTACAACTATGACTGGTCTGAAGTATGTTTTCTGGCATAGGCCATTTGACCCAGTAGCAATGCTATGTTGTGAATGTGGATTTTGTTTGCAAATTAATGTAAAATATGCAAACTTCTTAGTATCAGTCACTTTTCTAAATAAAGATGCTCTAGATGCATTCCACATATGGTGAAGTAGTTCCCACATTATCAGKTTTGTTTATCTGTTTTTATTTAAATACTTTGACTGAAGGTTTTCATATACTCTGTGTTCAAGATGCTAACAACAATGCAGTAGTATTATTGTAGCTGAAAATCAAGCTGAAATTTAGCAAGAGTAGGATGCATTTAAGCCTCTGGGCTAAATAATGCATTTTGTCCTGAAGTATATGTATACGTGTATCTGTATATACTCAAAAGTATAGATATATATAAATTTATTTTTTTTTTCCTCCAGCTAGGTGTGTGGTTTTCCTTGGGCTGTGCATACATTGCTCTGGAAGGCTATGAAGGTGCTGCCAAAGCATTTCAGCGCTGTGTGACACTGGAACCAGATGTATGTACAATTTCAGCAAGAACTGGAGAAGGCTTATCTAAAAGCAACAAGAATGTTTTCATTATAAACAAACAAAGCAATACTGAAAAAATAAAGTTTAAACTTTAACCTTTAGAATAAATTAAACTTTTACATAGAGGATGTATTTTCCTCATGAAGCATCATAAAAATACTTGCCCAATACTTAACTTTGTCCAAGTGTTAGTGTGTGTGAATGTTAAAATCTGTTTTAACATGCAAGTTCTTTATACTTACATACATTGTTACAAGAGAGAGAGAAAGGRGAATGGGCAGATGGTCAGCAAAGCTGAAGGGATAGATCAAACMCTGCCCTAAAATGCGTAGTTACCTGAGCCAGCTAACTTCTCAGTAGGTTAAGTAGTATTTATTATGCCAGTATAGGGTGCTGAGGTGGCTCCTTGCTGTGGAAATGAAGCCTGTCCCTGTACAACAATCTGCATCGGTGCCCTGAGGCTTTTCATGAAAAGTGTTTCCAAACATGATTTAAATGGTCCACAACTCTGAGAGTAGTCTCCAGCACAAGAGACTATTTCACTGAAAATGATGTTTTGAAAGTGAAAATGATGTACCCAGGTTCTGTTCTTAAATTTATATTAGTTGCCAGATTGCTGACTTCACTGGTATGACTTCAACTTTGCAGCAGTGTAAGGCACTCTAATCCCTTTTGATTACAGTAGCTGTTGATAAATGTGGTTGGAACTGACTCTGTTAGTGTTGCTAACCAAGGGGTGGTTCTAGCTGGTAATGATGAGCTACTGGAAACACTGACATCTCCAGCCATCCCAACTAGATCTAGAAGAGGATGCCTGTTTGCAGTTTAAACTGAAGGCAAGAGATGGTGTAACTTATTTCAGAGGGAGGAAGTTAAACTGTTTGGTTGTTTCTATAATCATTCATATTTATTCTTATTTGAATTCAGTATGTTCCATTTCAATGCAATATTTTGACTATATTGTAATAAACATATTGTGTTAATATCTGTGATTAGCAAAATCGATAAAATAATTCATAATAGTTTAATATGAAGCTTAATTACTTTAAATGTAAGTAAATAATTTTGGGTGGTGTTTCTCCTGTTTACATTACAGAATGCTGAGGCCTGGAACAATTTATCAACAGCATATATCAGATTAAAACAGAAGTAAGTACTGAAAAAGATTGGAGAGTACCACTTCCAAAATAAATATTTTGTATTTTCGTTTTCTGATACTGAGTTTTGTTTTCATAATGCAGTTTGCCTCTTTATCCTAATTCTCATCGCTTCATTCTTTCTAACAGCTTAGATAATATATGGGGATATATATATATTATTATAAATATAAAATCCGTAGTTCTGATAAGTGTGCACAACTTGCTGACACCCAAGCGAAATGGCCTTTGTTGTTTTGGGAGTTTGTTTTTCTCACGAGTTAAATATTCTAAAGTAGCTCAAGAAAATCATTACAATAAAATCAGCTTCTACTGTTTAGTTTGCTCAAAGAATTTCTCCAAATGTTAGGAGGCCTTTGAAATCTAGGAGATCTTCTGTTGCTCAGAACAAACTGAGGCTGCCCTCTCTGTCATTTGCGTGGAAGATGCTGACTACAAAGGCACGACAACGCACTGGTGTTGCCTAGAGTGTCCTGTTTGGTTGTTTATTGGTTTAACTCTTGACCCTGGGTCAGAATACTCCATCACTGAGTTAGTATTTTATTAGCATAGCAAAAGCAGTGATTTGAGAAAACACTTTTATATACGATGYGCTTGGTATCTTGTTTTCTTTTCCTGCTTCTGCCTGATCAGCAGTGTCCATCAACCAAAGTGTCCTTTAGCCTTACAGAGAGCTGTGGCAGGTCCCAGCTCTCTTTGTAGCAAAATCTACAGGGGAAAAAGCAGAGCCCTCATCTTTTCTAATGCATCAAGTCAAAAATGTGGGGACTAAAATAGTGGAGAAGACTCAACTGCCATTTGGTACATTCATTCAGCAGCAGCAAGCATGAGAACATGTATAAGAGGAACAGAAAAGTGGAGTGAACGTGGGAAAATCTGCCTGTGTGCTATTCTGCCTTGGCTATTCCAAGTGACCTGTTTTCTTTCAATAGTTTATTCTCTCTCAGCTCTATGCAGGTGCTCAGTAACTCTTTTCATACTCTGGGCTTAGATTGGCAGTTATGCTTTTTTTGGTGACCCAGCCATTTCTAARCTTTTAATGGACTGATGCAATAGTTAGATATTCCCTTTTTCTGCCTGAGATTTTTGTACTCTTGTAGTCTCTTTTCTGAAGCTSCAACAGCTGTCTTTTTTTAGAGATAGCCCTTTTAAGGACTTTTACTCAAGCAACAGAGCAAGTGAGCTGCAAATTTTAATAAACCATCCTTATATAATATTTCCTAAGAGGAGATTTCTTATCATATGTCTCCTCAAAAGACTTTTACTAGCCTGCAAAAGCTCTCTTTCAGGCTTTCATTTAAATAAATTTATTCCTTTGTGTTCTTTTCCTAGGCTTCATGACTTGTCCAGCTGAGAATAAGCTTCAGGCTCTTAAAGACCTAAGAGCTGTATCATTCTGTGTTTCTAGCAGAGCTTTTAGCTTTTGGCAGTRTGTTTAAAGCTTTAAACAGGAGACAGCTATAATTTACCAACTTAGTTTGAAGATTGCATTAAGATCTCTTGTTCGTTCTGTGTCCTTYCTGGCAGTGGTGCTTGCATGTCTGGCAGGAGGTCCCAACTCTCTGAACTGGATGTCAGCTGCTTTCAGGTCATACATGACTTTTGGCCAAACTGTCCTCTCTCCTTGGGGAAAGGGCATGGGGAATCTCTACTGTGGATGCATCTCGGTGTATAAGGAAGGTGGTTAGTGATTTTACAGCAACTTTAGAGATTCTGCCTGCGTTTTTCTCCACAAAACCCTCTCCTGGACCTATGTGATGRTTCACTGGCAGCAGCATTGGTAAAGGATCCTAACTCTGTTGGGGACCAGTAAAGCTCCAGAAGACACCAATAAAGAGGCACAAATTGACCTTAATTTACTTTATTACATTATTTTGACCAAATATGCTTATGAAGCTAATATAGAGGTTACCTTGAATCCAGCATAACAGAGTATACTGATTAGTGGGCTGGTAGAAAGTAATTTTCAAGTAACAAGAAAATATCAGTATTGTGAATTACGAATCATAATTTTAAACAGAACTGTTTTCTAAACAACTTTTTGAAATAAGCAGCTGTTTAACTGATGCAATCCCAACAGATTGTAATATATCTTCATTTTCATTTTGCTCTTTTATTACTGTTATATAGAAATAAAGCATTCCGAACCTTGCAAGAAGCTCTCAAGTGCAACTATGAGCACTGGCAAATTTGGGAGAACTACCTTCTCACCAGTACAGATATTGGAGAGTTTTCAGAATCAATTAAAGCTTATCACCGGCTCATGGACTTGAAAGAAAAATACAAGGATACACAGGTGGGAAAGTTTTCCTCTTAGATAATTTTACAGGTTCATTAATTTTTCTTATGAAACAGATTGCTGTTGGTAAGGTTATTAGTAATGATAGTGCACATACCAATGAAAGCCATGTCAGCAAGCATTTAGTTTTTGAGATTTGAACATATTATATAAGTGATCAAAAAACAAAGCCTTGCACTCAGATTGCCTCATACTTTGCGGAAAGATAAATACTTTGTTGTCTTAAAATACTTTCTTAAAGCACAATGCATCACCCATCTTTTCACATTGCTCTTTCATATCTCAGTATTAGAAATAAATTATATTGTGTCTTGTAGCATCAAGGAAGGATAGTCTTTCCCATGTGTCTGAAAATTACACAAATGAGTCTTTGAAAGTGAGCTATGTTTCAGGGGCTGAATGCATTAAGGTGAAAATATGGATACTAAATAATCTGGAAGAAAATAAATTAAAGGAGATATTTAGCTTCTCTTCCACTGTAGTTCAGTTAATTCTGTGTTTATAAACGTAGCTGTGACAAATATCCAGAGAACCTACTTGTTCGGTTTGGAGATATTGTTTCAGTTAATTTTTTGTTGTATCATTCTTTCTGTCTTGCTCCTACATAGGAGCACATTATCAATTTTACACAGAAGTATAGATATGTATTTTAAATTTGTTAATCGCATGTGAAGTGCTCTCAGTTTCGTCATAACTTCTGGTACCATTTGCTCAATGGGAGCAATTTGCTAGTTGGCCAAGAACCAAACTTAAAACCTCATTAAAAAATTTCAAAAAGACTTTTATCAATAGCATTATGACGAAGAAAAGAACACTTCTCTGGAAAGGAAAAAAAAAAAGGCATGTAGAACTAAAAGCTTCTGAKGAGGCTCTTTACAAAACTCAACAGAAATAATTTCTGAGCTTCTCCTGTTTGCCAGTTGACCTGTTTTAAAGGGAGATGCTCTGTGACTCTCTTGTGTAACTTGAATTTAACTAAKTATCATCATGAGTAAGCAAAAATATACATCTCTTGTTCCACACAATTTTGTATGATCTTACTTCGGGTTATATTTAGTAACTATGGTCATCCAGGTGTTACATTATGGACTACCAGGCTTGATGACACAGTGGCAAGAGAGACTGAAAGAATTTTAAGATCCAAAAGAACAGATATGCATAACACCATAAGAAACAGGCTGAATCACTGATTCCAGTTCTGTGTGAAAACARAAAATTTGCATCATTCGTGGACCTTCATAGACCAGACATTTCTGCCATAATAAATRTAGCAATAATAAATATTACATTAAATTATAATAATGATGATACATTATTATAATAATTATAACTAATATTACATTAAATAGCATAATATTAAAATATAACCCTTGGGAAACACATCAAAATTACAGTGTGCAGTCATATGATTTGCAACATCCCTGGTTTATGTCCTTACATGAGCTTATTTCAATGCAGTATCCAATCATATTTTAAAATGAWTTAAAAATTATTAAGGTATTCGTAGCTTTATCTGTGATTTCAATTAGGTCATTGCTGTCTTATTTATTTCAGACTTCAGAGCACAGAGTACAGTTTTGGGAAACTGCTTCTGAGCTATTCTAGTTATTTAGTGATGTCATCTTTGTGGCAAAAGTTCTGAGATCAAGATATCATGAGGCTGAATATATGCGGTTACAGATTGTGTAGACAACATTGAAAAAGGGAAATATTTCAATTATTTTTATATATAAAATAAATAGCTGTGCATTTAAATAATGTGACATGATTTMAACATTAAGTGATCCCTGCAAGTATATACTCCATTTTAAGGCTGGTCTTTTTTCTTGTCTATTCTTTTTGGTGGTTGGAGCAAAATAAAAACATTTTGGGAAGTAGTTGGCTAACTTTATAAATAATCTATGATAGAATAAAAAAAAATGCAACCAAGGAAGTACTTCCTAATTTCCTAGTAGTCTTTTTAAATATTTTGAGCTTGCTTTCTCCACTTCCTTGGTTACAAGTTCTTAAATTTTTTCCACATTCCTTTTTATTGTCATGAGCTTCCTGAGAAATATACCTTTAAAACCTTTAATATGGATGTTGTGTGGTAAAGGGAGAAGGCTCATTGAATTACCTGTAGCGACTGGCAAGTTTTGATAGTCCCAGCGTAGAGTTTCAGCTAATAGATCAGTCACGGTTCACGTAAAGCACTGGAGGAGAAAGGTTTAACTGGGGTAGTGTCACGTTAGTCTCTGAATTATTAGTCTTAGGTTCTAAATATACCTGAGAGAGTTCTGCAAGTGCTAATCACACAACTTTGCACCACATGAATGCTCCTGGAGGCAAGCAATCATTTTTACTGGTAATGTTACTGCTCTGAGAATTACAGAGGTTATTCTGTGGGTGGAGAAGGTTATTTGCTACTTTACTTGCAGAAACCAGATCATTATCCTGTACTGTCAGTAAATATGAATTCARAAGGATGGATAAATGTTTCCTCTTAGCAGTTTTATATTCCCTAGAATCATAAAGGCTTTGTTACCCTTTTCATCGTGTTGATTATCCTGATTCCAGTGGTTCATCTGGCCCTACTCTTTGCAATAAAAGGTTGCCAGGTGTTCCAAAGGGCTTGGAGAGTAAGAAGGTAGGACCTTCAGGAGGCCTGGAAGCAGCTCACACTGCCAGTTATCTCCTTTTATAAGCTTTTATTTGGAAAGGGTAAAGGGAGATCTCATAAAATGCAGTTTGACATTTTAGTCCTGGTATCTGGAGATTCTTTTTGAACGTGAACTTTCTCAAGCTTGATTAGTGTTAACGAAGCTTGTAAAAACACTTGCAGCCAATTGCATTTTTAAATGAGATGAGCTGTTTGGAGAAGAGCAACTGTGGAATGAGATTTAACTGAGAACATGGCTTTTAAAAAGGGGTTGCTTGGGTTCTGTTCAAGGTTTCGTAGTTAGGTGGGTTTTGTTTAAATTTTAGTAAGCATGTCTTCACAAAAGCAAAAGAGGAAGAAGAGTGCAGACGGTGTGAAAAACTGAACACAAATCCTCTTCAGAAGGGTCAAATGGAGCATAAAAAAAAACTACAGTTTGAATGGAGTAATGGGCAATAAAGCATTGGTTTTAATATATTAGCTTAGTATTTATACTATTTTTGTTTTCAAAAAAAAGGAATTAAAGCTTAGCACTTAAAGCAGTGCTTTAACTATGGAAAGCTCAGACTGCTTGTGCTTTTTGATGGTTAGTACAATTCACATGCAATTTTAAGTGTCATTATTTAACAGCTTGGTATAGTCAGGTTGTGATAACTTTTCATTAATATTTAATGGACCGTTTAATCCAGGATTTCACATTGGTTTTATTTCARCTGCTGTAATGCTGTAATACTGATGCCTTAGATGGTGAATTATGGGAAAAAAAAAAAAAAGCTTGTGATAAAAGTATAAACAAAATCTGAACTTTATGGGAATTATGGCAATTATGCATGATGCTTATAATAAATACTAAACTTTATATTTTTTATTTTGTGAAATATATTGTGACTTTGTGATAACTTTTGCATTATTTTCTGCCACCAAGATACATCTTGGCATGTGAGGATGCATGTGTCCCACTTTTATTGGAATAGTGGTTGTGATGGTCTTGGTGGTCTTGTTTTGTTTTATTTTTGTTTTGTTTGTTTGTTTTCTTCTCCCCTTTGGGACACTGGCATTATATAGCATTTCGTATATGCAAAGTTCAACTCCTGCTGAGTTCCCCAGCAGCTGCAAGTGCTCAGCATCACTGCAGGTCAGATCCCATGTTCTCAAGCCAGTGGCTCAGAAAATAAGGACCACTGAATGAGTACTTGTAAAAAGCTTAAGTGACTTGACCTGTTGTACATTATGACTACCTTAAACACAGAGTTTTCCAGACTAGTCTTCAGTTGCTTCTTAGTTTCCCATCTTTTGCACTACACATCTTTTAATTTTTTCAGTTAGTGAAACACAGGTCCTGTAAACAGAAAATAGAGGTCCTGACTTTTTATTTTATGAACTGATTATAAAGTAAAATATCATTATGACACTGTCACAGTTTCCTATGAACTTTCTGCAGCCTCTTCTAGACTAACTCAGCATTTCTTTCCTAGTTCACCAGAGATAGAATCTTTTCAGTGAGGATTAAATGAGTTAAATTATTCCCCTAGTAATATATTTCCCTGTAAGCTCTATAATTGTCATATTCTACATTTGTTTTTTAGTGAATCATTAATAGAAAGAAAAATTACAGGTACCAAGATGCTCATTTGCCTTACTGATGTTGAGTTGAAAGAAAAACCTGCTTTCTGCTGCTTTGCAAGGTGCTGGCCATTCTGGTCAGGGCCGTAGTGGATGGAGTAGCTGACCGGGCCGGGGAAGTGGCAAGCGGATTGAAGGGGAAATTGCAAGAGCTCCTGGGCAGAGTGACTGCACGAGTGACAAACGACGGGGAGATCTGGAGACTTTACGCTCGACTTTATGGAAATGGGCAGAATGATCATGGTGAAGATATTGAGAAGGTAAATACATTGCTAAGTTTTTTATGAATAGAAGCTTGTAGTAGAGGCCTTCTRTTCTCTAATGAGCTAAATACCGTATTAAAACATGCATGCTTCTCTCCCAGACATGTTTTTTACTTGAGTGTTTGTACTTTTATTTAACGTGTGCTGCTTGTGTTTCCACAGGGCACAGATACGCTTATTAGCTGACAAGAGCAAGATGTTTCATATCATTTTTGTGTGTGTAACTCCTTAAATACACCTCTCATCAGTATTTTATTTTAATATAGTCTATCACAGCACATGATCCTTGCCTCAGATTACATTCAGAACATGTTCAAGAGGCAACAGTCTAATTCAGGAGCCTTTATTGTTTACTTAATAGCAATTTTTGACTCTAATGAAAACATGTGATTTTTTTTTAAAGGGCCTTCCTGGGTCATAATGTTGTGATCAAGTGACATCACATGCTACCCAAGTTATTCTTTGGAACTACCAAAGAGAATTGCATGTTATGACAGGCACTCTCTTCCCTGAGTAAGAGARCTTTGTCCTCATTTAGATTAAATTGGGTTCAGCATTGTCAATTGATTCATTTTTTGAAGTGTTGATACCTGCTTACCTGTCTGTGTTTTAGCTACTTCCCTTTCTGGATCCTATTGAGATGATTGCTTTCCTAAAATAAACACTTAGTGTTGAGAGGGTTTCTTTTGTTGCGTGCTGCAGCATGCTTTGTTTTTGGTGTTACGTTTCCAAAATACAAATAACCTTGCAAATAACCTTATGGGTTATCAGATCTTCACTGATGCTGAAAATACACGAGGTCAGCTTTTGTATGCATCTCCTAATGGGTGGTGTGCCTTTGGTCAGGGCAGAACTGTCACTCCGGAGAGCTGCTTGTCACTCGATGTCAGGCATACTATGCAGGTCATACTATTCAGGCCTATGAATTGTCTGCCTGTGGGGTTAAACTTGTAGTTTTTGGGCCCTTCCTCAGTGTCCTCCTCTCCTTGCTCTACAAAATGCCTCGTTTAGCCTTTATGCTCTCCATTATGCCTCCTTTTCATCCTTCCTTTCTTCTCTATTTTTCTTTACAGATGAACAATAAAAAGGATTTGACCTGTTTAGAATGCCGAAATACAGACATTGCAATATCCTGTAATATATCCTCAAATTCTTACTCAGACATGCAAAGTAGCCGAGGCCCGGGCTATACTATAAATGTAACCATTCCAGAATCTGGTTACATCACAGTGTTTTTCACTAACCCGCCTCAAAGCATGGTTTCAATTTGCAGAGTAGACAGGGTTTCAGCTGCGTTTCCTAATCAGGCGGGTTATGGAACGCTGCTCTGGTCTAGCCTGCCCTGCAAAGTGGAGCCATGTTTATAAATGACTTGCGGGATGCTTGGGTGTAACCTGGTATCCCGGTGCTACCACAGGGATAGGTCATGAAAGCGCTAAACTGTCCACAGCCCCGGAATAAATGAATTTGCTTTCTCAAAATTGCTTTTCAGTACACAGACTACTCCGTAGCAGTTTTTCTGATACCATACTGTAAAGCACAGAGCTGGAAAAGGTGAATATTTAATGGCTCCCCTGCCACATGCTTTATCTGTGTCAGACGTAATTATCTGTGGAAGAATTTGAGCTGTGATTGCTGTTTTCAACCCACAGTTGCTCTGCCAAAGGTAAATTCTGAAAGGGTAATATTTACTGTTTGGTGGCGTGGCAGAACAGATGAGAGGAGCAGATCTACCCTCTGTCCATCCTTACATATGTAGGCCTTGACTTTAGTTACATAATGTAATACGTTATTTAGTGCACATTGAATTCTGTTTAGYCAGTGTTGTTTCCAGCACTTCCTTTGAAAGAACAGCCTCGGATGCCTGGCAGTTACGATGGGGATTTTCTCTGCCTTTCTGCCCCTTGGCCATATCTGAYGCCATGAATCTTTAGGGCCTGCAGCTCCAGTTCATCCCAGTCCCTCATGAACCGAATCTAAGTCAAATAAGGGGCTACCAGTCACTGTGAAGCTGTTGAGGCACAGGGAAAGCAGCACCGATAGCTGCCTTTCCCCCGAGCAGATACTAATCCCTACAGCCTGTGCACCCGGCCTGCCACCTCGCTGACTGCTTCATTCTTTCCTATGTTCAACCCTCTCCACCGCTTTCCCACTTGGGAATCTTTCCAGCCTACAAGTTTCCTACTGATCCATACCCAGGCAACSGTCTGTGAAACCTTTGTGTCCCTTAAACTTTCACAGAATCACAGAATATTTAAGGTTGGAAGGGACCTCTACAGATCATCTAGTCCAACCTTCCTGCTCAAGCAGGCACACCTA